TTCAGGGGAATAGCCATGCGCGCCTTGAGCGCATTTACGTGTCGCTTGAATTAATAGCCCACTGCAAGACATATGCTGTTTACCCAATACACTTTAGCGATCATTGTTTAGTTAAATGTGATATGGGAGAGAAAACACAAGGTGGAACTTTCTCATGGGAGCTTTGGAAGATGAATTCCACTTTGATCACTGACGAATATTTCTTAGATCAGGTTATGAACTGCATCAATGAAATAAAAATTGATGATGGAGCTAAACTTGCAGAACAATGGGAAGAGTTCAAGCAGCGAACAAAAATAAAAGCTATTGATCGTTCTTGCACATTGAGTTATGAAAGGAAAAAGAAAGAAAAAGAACTCCGAAAGACTTTGGAAAGACTAATAGACTTGGAGTGCAAACAACCGGGAGAGTATAAAATTGACATACGCAATATTAAGCACAAACTTGCACTGCATGACGAGGAACGCTATTGCGGTGCACTCGTCCGTGCTAGAGCTGAGGCTTTAGCGGCTGGAGAGACGCTAACCAAAAGAGCGTTAGGGGTGGAGAAAACGAACGCTCGACGGAATCATATCGAAAAAATAGAGAAGGATGGTCACGAAGTAACCGATACGGACAGCATTTTATCCGTATTTTCAAGTCATTTTGAAAACCTTTTTTGCGTGTAGACAGGCAAACCTAGAAAGATTTAAAGACGAACATTTAGGACGCATGCCGCAAGTGAGTGAGGAAGTGAAAAATGCTTTGGAATTATCTATATCTGCATCTGAAGTTGAACGGGCGATTGGTAAGTTAAATCCTGGGAAATCTCCAGGACCAGATTGTCTTTGTGCCAAGTGGTACAAATGTTTTAAAAGGGAATTGTCTTCAATACTTGCGGGCGTTTTTAATGAGGCATATGAGGAAAAAAAATTACCACCATCCTTTGGTGAATCGCGAACCGTTCTGATTCCGAAAACAGACGAGGTTGAAAAGCTCAGGCACGTCACTGCGTGCAGGCCAATCGCACTGACAAACGTAGACTACAAAATATTAATGAAACTTTTGGCGGTCAGACTTCAGTCAGTAATAAAAGATATCGTCGGTCCACACCAAACGTGTGGAATAAAAGGTTGGTCCATAGTTACAAACGTTCATGAAATGCGATCCGTGCTCGAATGTATTGACACCAGTCATGCTCGTGCGGCCATACTCCAGCTGGATCTGGAGAAAGCGTTTGATTGCATTTCCCACGCTCTTTTGTTTGCAGTAAAGAAGCACATTAATGTTGGTAAGATAATTATTCACGGAGTAGCCGTGGCATATCGGAATGGTAGTACGAGACTAATTATCAACAAGACATTGGGCCCCCCCATAAGAATTGAGCGCTCAGTGCGTCAAGGTTGCCGTGTTAGTCCACTTTTGTTTTGCATCTATATTGAAACTTTATGTCAGTCGATATTGCAGAATGACATCATTAATGGGTTTAGAGTACAATCTTCAGAGGTCAAACTACTCGCATACGCTGATGATGTTGCGATTTGTAGCACTACCTATGTCGGTATTGAAGAATCAATCAGAGTTTCTAAATCTTTCGTCGAAGTTACAGGAAGCCATATAAACTGGGGTAAATACCTCGGCTTCTGGCATGGATATTGGCCTTCAACACCAGAATTGTTTGCAGTTATTAAATGAACAAGAACGCCAGTTAAATATCTCGGAGTACCGCTCGAGTCACACAAAAGTACTGATGAATATTTGACGCAGCAAACGAAAGAAATTAAAGAGAAAGCGAATAGGTGGAATGCAACCTATCTGTCCATGTTTGCTAAGGCTACTGCATGCAACTGGTTGTTTGTGTCTAAGCTGTGGTATGTGATGCAAGTGCTGTACTGTTCCCGGGTCAATGTGCAAAAATTACATCGGGTGTTTGCAGTATTTGTGTGGGGTTCTAACTGGGAAAGGTGCAGTCGCACGAATTTGTTCAGACGGGTAAAGTGTGGAGGCCTTGTGCTAGGACATCTGTTTATCAAGCAGTTAGTAAATAGGTATTTCTTTTTTCGCGAGACAAGAGATCCTTTCCTACTAACAGTGTGTCAAACAAAACTAAGTAGACTGTTGCCCGAGTTTGTTGTGAGCACTCATGTTACCACAGGGGCTGTGCAAGGATACATGAAGGAAGTTGTGGCTAGCGTGCGGTTTTTGTGTGTTCGGTTTTCAACTGACTACCTGTGGTCTGTTGGAAAGAAAAACCTGTACAAAGATTTATGTGACACGATGCTCCCCATCCCACTGTACAGAGCGCTATATACAGCACGCAAGGGTCAGAATGTACTTAAACGAGTTAAAAAAATGCCAGCAGCTCCAAGTGCAAAAACGTTCTTTTTCAAATTACACACTGGAACAATTCCTGTAAAAACCTTCCTAGAGGAGCGGGGGTTTTATATTCCTTGGGGATCTCACTGTCTAATCTGTAAGAAACCGGAAACTATTGACCATGTTTTTCTGCACTGTTGAGAAGGAGTTTATTTTTGGGAGAATTACAAAGGACAATCAAAAAAGAGTTCCCGTTAGACCCTCATGGGATCAGGTATTTGGCAATAGAGAATGAGGATGGATTACCTTTCGATTTTATCATGATGACTGCGTTGCACAGTATATGGTGCTCTAGAATGGCTGGATTTCATTGTGACCCAGACAGAAGACTAGCAAGAGAGTATTTTAAAGAAAGCATCTCAAGATTACTCGAGGTAGTAAGAACAGACGAATGTGTACCTTTATGGGTAGAAAGGGTAGAAGCTCTACTGACCATGAAGGAATTCTAGGACGTGATGTGTTATAGTAATGCTTGACGGGCTTAGTTATTTTTAAGTTTATTGTATTGTTCGTTGTGAATTGTAATATATTTATCTTAGCAACCCGTTTGTGAAGTTGAACCGCAAGTAAAGAAAAAAATTCTGGTTGATTGATAATTGATATGTGGGGTTTAATATCCTAAAACTTCCAAATGATTGTGAGGGATGCCGTAGTAGAGGTTTCCAGAAATTTCGACCAAACCCAATTCCTTAAAGTGCACCCAAATCTGAGCACACGGACCTACAGCATTTTCGCCTCCACCAAAAGTGAAGCCGCCGCAGTCGGGATTTCATTCCGCGACCTGCGAGTCAGCAGCTGAGTACCTTAGCCACTATACCACCGTGGCATGTCTACGTTCATTCTCAATAGGGTGTTTCTTAGCTCCTGTATATTATCTGATACTAACGTAGTACCGGCTGGACAAATAGTCACTTTTGCTCAAGTAATTTACGCTGCGAAGTTTCACTTTCCCTAAGTAGGTTGTGGGTACAGTTTTCAGATCAAATTAAGCAAGTACGGATCATGAGCGTGATCTGGCTAGCCACGTTTGAAGCACTAAATGAATTTTTGTCTACATTTGTATTAACAGGCTCATTTTCTCGAGTGGAAACTATATAAGAGGTGCTCCGAATTCTAGTTTGTGAGATGAACATCAAGTTGGGTAATCATCTGAAACAAAAGCTGCACTAACCGTTAGAGAAAGATAAAAATAGTGATTTTCGTAGTTATTACAAGTTTTTGATAGGATGTCACATATTTGAAATGCCGTGTGTGTTAGAATACCTCAACTGCCAAGAAGGTAATATTGATATTTCTCTTCACTGGTACGTACATTCTCGCAACTGTATTGAAGTTGGTTATTTTGAAGAAAATTTTTGTAATTTTTTCCTCGTGTAAGTTTTGTGCGAAGGCATAGAGTAAATTTTGGGTGCATCACGATATATTAGTGTTAGAGTTCTCTAAATATCCCCTCGATTCCTACCTGCAGAACAGGAGAAAGATTACGTGCGGGTCTGTGTTAAGTCATGTTCAGGACTACGTGCGCTACGTACGAATTCTTGGTAAGAATCTGAAGCATAAACGCAAGGATCGTAATAAGCTTGTTCACATGTTGTAGTTATCGTTAACAACGTAACGTGAGGGAAAAAAGTGTTGCCGGGCCCGCGACTTTTACGACAAATAGCGATGCGACCGTTGCGTACGGCCAACAAGCAAAGCAGCGTGAGTTTCCACTCTGCATTCGTGGGGATTTCCCACTTCCCCAATTTCACGTCTTAATGCACGTCTTCAAAGTCATGCAGTTGCGTTTCTGCGCAGTTGGTTTTCCGTACTAGAAATCAGACGCTACGTGCGTTGATGACAGCGCTAGTCACGTCTCTCCTTTATCCCAATCGTCCCAGACATGGACAAATGGGTGAAGCTTGCTAGGCTGCAACAATTCTAGCGAGAACGCAACGCACGCTGAGAGTGTTGGTTGACGCTTCGTAAAAAAAAAAAACGTACCGTACCGAATAGATCAATGCGAAGATGCGCGGTCGCTAGCTATGCGAACGAAGATACAGCTGTTACAAAATACGACATAATATGACAGATGTGACTACAGTCTGAGCGTGGTTTACTAATGTTAGATATGGTTCCAGTGTTTATTACACAATCCTAGGAGTAGGTTTTCACCACATCACATTGATGTCAAAAGTTGGAAGTTTCGAAGATGCAATATTGGACGTTTTTGTTTGCACTTTAGTCATTTATTACGCTAGGCCTGCATTGTTGAACAATAGCTGTAGGGTACAATACTTTTTTTCCGTAATTTATTGCAATGATGTTGAAGCCCCGCATAAAAAGTTAATCAATCCACTTGTAGTACCAGAACCCACGATTTACGATAAAAACGGCATATATTGTTCCTTTAATAAAACTGGCGTAATCTTAGAGGGCTCGTGTTCTTTCTTAGATGCAATATAAGAAGTAACCCAAAATTTGGCACACAAATGTATAGGGTTTGTTATAAAAAGTTATTGTAATGTAAATGTGAAAAACGTATGGACAAAAAAAGGACTTTAACCTGTTACCTTCTATTCTGACTGTTCTCTCTTCTCATTATTGTTTTAAACATCAGTAGTTTATATCCACCCAACTGTTCTCGCTTGTCTTTTTTTTTTCAGATTATACCCCACTATATTACTACTGAACTTGTAAGTATACCGGGATTCGTAGGGCTCTACCTGGCGGGCGTAGTAAGCGCAGGAACAAGGTATGTTCAAAAAGCAAGCTATGAGAGAAAATTTTCTAGCTACTGTGATTGAAGTGCCCGGTGAAAACGTTAAGCGTGCTTTCACAGAAAGCATTTAGAATATCGGTTCATGTTGTAAGCATTTTGTATAGTGTTCTTTATCGGTGAAATGAGTATTTTTGCGACCCTCATTCGCTTGAGAAAAAGCAACTCGAAGTATACCTAGCAACTTCAACCAGCCTCACTGACTATATCTTCACTCAATTGTGTTGCCAGCCTCCAATGGAAGGTGACACCACCGGTTAACACATTCATGTGTCTAGCGCACACATTGACATCACTGCGCCACGTATCGCCTCGTTGTATGTGTCCCTTGAATATGCGCAATGGCTTAAGAAGAAAGACGCTGCGTGAAAAAAGTGTGTTTGAATTTCTGTAGAAAAAGAGCCAAGCACTATAAGCACTCCGAACATGTCATTTCCCCTTTGCGTCATGCTTTGAGAGCGAGCCTTGTATTACTATTCTGTTTCAATTTCTAGCGAGGTACGGCTACTGAACACTGAATAGAAAACGGGCACTAATTGAGAGCGCGCAATGGAATGCATCTTGTGCCTAAAAAGCGCACAGTAGTCCTCACTACAACTGTTTTCTCCACTCCAGCACAATATCCTCGGCGATAAATTCTCAAGCAGCAATACTCTACGTTGACGTCATCTCTCCCGCATACAAACGAGCAGACGAGCACGTGCTGCTAATTACACGCTGCACCGGTGAGTACATGCATCTTGGTCTGATTGCGATTAATTTTGCACACATATGCTCTTGCACACGTATATTCTTTCACCACAAATCATTCCATTGAAGTTCAAAAGAACTAGATAGATCAGGAGCTCTTAACACTGTGTTTCGTAACTTAGAAGCGCTACAAAACCCTGCGTCCATCTCTGTATCAAAGAGGTGCTTGTCAAGTATAATAAATGTGGGCATTGGGCTCATAGTGATGTTATTGCGCTACATTGTAACGGTGATGTCACGGACACTCGAACTCTTCAACGTACGCAGTTTAAAAACATCCAAACCACCAGATTTGTTCTACGTATTTGGAGGGTTCTTAACCACGCGTTCAATATTTATCCTAGTTTCGGGAATGCACATCACCTTACGTCATCTGATGAAGTTGTGTAAAAAGTGCATAAACATTTGAAGGAACGTGGCCTCACCAAAAAAAAGCCTTAGGGTATTTATTTTTTATTCTATAACATAGAAAACGCAACAGAAGATGAAAAAAACAGCACTTGAAAGTATTTCCTGACTTTGCTTCCCTTCTTGTTTTGCACATTTAGAGGTTTGCAGACAAGCGTAGTTTTTTTTTATGAAGGTGAAATTTATCGCGCATCGTTCGCTTTCCAAATATTCGCAGCGTTTAATGCAGCAAGCTCAGGGCAAGCAGATGTTACGACTGGTAACCAATGTGTCCCTAAATACAACTGTGACATTCTTAGCAGCAGCCAAATTGAGATAACCCTTTTTTCATCCCACTCAATTAGCTGGTTTATTGCCACAGCCTCAATAACTTTATATACTTATGGGCAATATACGACAACGCCTTCCTTGTAGTCACTACTCTTAACCTAACACATGCAGAGTGCAGTGATAGAGAGAGGGAGAGATAAAGATGAGAGGAAAGGCAGGGATGTTCACCAGACGCACATCCGGTTTGCAACCCTGCACTGGGGAAGGAATGAAGGAGAGAAAAGAGGTTGCGGAGAGATAAGAAGGTACACACAATCACAAGCACACTTGGGGGATCACAAACAGTCTACAGGTGGTCGCTCAGGCTTGTTGTCTTTAGGTACACTAGGAGTGCTTTAGTCGCTTTCTGCGCAATTGAGGCAGATGCCCAAGGTCCCCGAATCTTCTGCACACAGAATGGTCTAGAGTCAAGTTGATTCGAAACCATCCGAATCTGGCATCGCTGCGTCTCGTAGCAAGCGCAGCTACACATGACGTGTTCAATGGTCTCTTCAGCTCCACAGGAGTCGCATGTGGAGGTGTCTGCCATACCAATGCGAAAGGAGGACACCTTCGTAAATGCAACACCCAACCAAAGGCGGCATAACAGTGTCGCATCGGAGCGGGAAAGTTGTGATGGTAGCTGTATCTTAAGTGAAGGACCCAGTTCATATAAGTGACACCTTTTGAATCTGGTAGACGATTAGAACGTACGTGTAATATCTCGAGCCACCAAGCAAAGTTGCCTTGCTGCATCAGTCCTTGACAGAGGAATCGAGACCACATGGGTTCCTTCAAAGGCCGGAGCACACCATACTCAAGATCTAGGCCCTGGGACTATAGGAATCTATTAGCTATTGTCTTCAGATAGGGAATACCCATGCCCTGCGTGGCCGATGACTTTCCGCACGCCGGATGTGTAAATAAATGTTGTTTCTCTCTCTCTCTCATGGGATGAGCGGGCTGCATCATCGGCTAATTTATTTCCGGTAATACCGATATGTCCAGGCAGCCATTGATATATAATATAATGCCCTCGTCCTAGAGCTTCATGATGACAATGTGTTATTTCATGTACCAAGTGTTCATGATTCCTTCTACGCATGGAAAACTGCAAGTTCTGAAGTGCTGCCTTCGACTCACAGAATATGACCCATTTTTCTGGACGCTCTTGAACGAGAGATTGGAAAGCAGCTCTTATAGCAGCAAGCTCCGATGCCGTAGACGTAGTCATGTGCGACAACTTAAATTTAATTGTCGGAATTGCAGCGGCACCTAATGAGCTGCTGGACAAGAATGAGCTGCATCAGTGTATATCTGCGTTCGGTCCAAGTACAACTCATATAATAATAGCAGTGTTGCTTGCTTAAATGCTACTATGGAGCAATTGCTTTTTTTTGATACACGGAATTTTTAGGCGTACTTGCGGCTGGTTGAGGCAACACAAAGGACATGAAATTCTCGTAGCTGGCGTATATCGTGAAGAGATGCTGTTTAGGTGCGTGGCTATGACGTCTGAAAACGTAGCACGTAGTCTTTCGGAGGGTAGAAGGGCCAAGTGGTGATCGGGGACACGGCTAGCATGTTGAATGTGTGCTCAGAGGCAATCCACAACTCTATATGTCCTGACCGGATAGTCTTTGGCAAGCACGATTGTGGCATGAGTAGAAGCGCATCAGAGCAGTCCTAGGCAGATACGCAGCGCCTGACCCTGCAAACTCTCCAATAAACGAGTATTTGATTTGCAAGTGTTAGTCAGAGCCGGCAAGCTGAAGCGCAATATACCCAGAAATAGGGCCCTGTACAGCTGTAGCATGGAGGCCACAGAAGTTCCCCATGCTTTCCCGCACATGAATTTCATTATATGCCCAATAGATAGCAGTCTCTTCTTCAGGCACGGACAGTGCTGGCTACACCAAAGACTTCTGTCGACTATTATGCCCACGAAACAATGCGTCCGTGCATATTTGACACTCTACCCATTGATGTAGACAGAATATGGCGTCATTGGTTGGCGTGTAAACGCAATCAACGCGCCTTCGCAGTTGATATAGTCAGGCCTTGTTTCTGAAGGTAGGCTTTTGTAAGGGTTGCTGCCCGGTGTATTCATGCACGCACCTGAGGGCGAATAACTGCAGCACTCCAAGGGCAAATATCATCGGCGTAAATGGATAAGCACACCAACCTCGGCAGAACCTCCGCCAGACCAATGACGGCAACATTGAACAAGGTGGGGCTTAAAAAACCTCCTTGAGGTACTCCGCAAAAGGTGTAATGTTCAGTAGTTTTACCCTCATATGTTGGAAACAAAGAAACTCCTGCCAGTTATATAATCTTTTATCCTTTGAAACATTCGTCCACCAATGCCCATTGCTGCGAGAGAAGTGAGGATGGCATCGTTAGCTACATAGTCATATGCACCCTTCACGTCAAGTAAGGGTGCCACTGACATGCGCTTGCGACTTTTTTCTTGCTGAACAAATGTCGATAAGTCAAGGACACAGTCGATGGAGGAGCAGCACCAATGGAAGCCTGCCATACAGAAAGGGTAGTTGGTGTATCGTTTGAAGTACCACTCGAGACGCAATAGAATCATTCTTTCGATCACTTTTCCGAGGCAGCTTGCTAGGGAAATATGGCGTTACGCTGTCATGTCCAATGGTGATTTTCCCGATCTCAGTAGTGGTATTATTCGACTTATTTTCCATTCTCGGGGAAGACTGCCCTGAGCCAAGAGTTGTTGAAGCGTGGTAAAAGTTCTCTTCTGGCTTTTCGTCCAAGATGTTCCAACGCACTATAAGGAATACCATCAGGACCTGGCGATGACATGCGCTTAGAAGCGACTAAAGCACCTTCCAGTTCTTTCATGGTGAATGGAATGTCGATTTCTGGTAATCGCGTCTCAGGAACGATCACGGCGTCGATGCTCTCGTTCATAATATTCCCGGCAACTCTCGTGCAAATTTCTTCAGCCACCTCGAGTTCTGTTTTTCCACGATGGAGTTCCAAAGCTTTAAAAGGGGGCCGTTGTTGCGGAGAAGAGCGAAGACCACGAACTGTTTTCCAGATATATGAAAGCGGTTTATGAGAGTCTGGAGATTCGCAGAATGCTTTTCAGCGTTCGCTCTCCAGCTTGTCAATGCGTCATTAAATCTTTTTCTGGAAACGTCTTGCTTCCCTCAGGTCGTAAATTGATCGTGTGCGTCTGTATCTTCATTCAGCACGCCTTCGTATAACTCGTAATTTTTCCAGTTCGATGTCGAACTGTGTTATTCTAGACGAGAATGATAATTTACATTTGCACGCTTGCATAGCTTCCACGATTGTATTTTCCAGCCTGCAGGCATGGACTTTTTGGCAAGCGTCTTCAACACGCAATGCTAAGATCGACCACTCAGTGCCAATTACAACACCGCAAGAGAATTTTTTTCTTATACCATCGATCTTCACGTAGGTGGGTTTGTGATCACTCCCATGAGTCTCAATATCTCAAAACCATTTAACTTTGTGAGAGAAGCACCATGACACCGATGTCAGGTCAAGGCAACTGCCATACGTGAGACCCCACAGATATGTTGGGGTACCATCGTTAATGATGGAAAGGTCGTAGTCGGAAGCGAATTTAACAATATTCGTGCCCCTGGCATTCATCCTAGTGCTCCCCCAAAGCATGTGATGGGCGTTGAAGTCAGCGGTGATTATCTAAGGCCCATCAGTCCTCATTAAGATGTCTTTTAATTTGTCGCAGTCAAATCGCGATGACGGAGATATATATGCACCAATAAGTGTGAACAAAACAGCATTCTTATTTACACGAAAACGCACGTACTGATTGTCGTCATTTGAACTTATCGGGTGTGAAACATAATTCAAGCCCGTGCGGATGTGAAAAATTACTTTGCTTCGTTTTTCGAAAGTGGCTGAACAAAAAGCTTCATAACCGGACAATCTATAAGGCGTTGATACGTTTGGTTCACATACAACAAGTATAGGAAATTGATTGACCTGAACAAATTGGCGAAAGTCCGAGATACGGGACTTTATGCCTCTGGCATTCGATTGAAAAACCGACGCACTTTTAACTTCAGTGCGGAAGTTGAGATTTTGTTGAGCCATTGTGCTTATACGATGTTAGCAAGCACTGGATTCAGTGCATTCAGTATTTGCAGTGCACTCTTAGCATACGGAGTTTGTATGCTGTTCAGTAGCGTGCGAATAGTGACAAACCTTAATGATTGCAGTCACTCTCCTGTCTTGGTTGGAAAGATCTCGAAGCGGTGTCCCGGGCTGGCCGTCATGAAACTTCTTCAGTTCGCTTAATGCCGCTTCCCTTTATAGTGCAGGCCACTCTGTCGCAGTTAGGGTATGCTCACTGGCTTTGTCTTTTACAATCTTTCCCACAGCATGTGGTCTGGGAGGTAAAGGAGGTGATAACGATGAGAGAGCTGGCAAACGCATCGAGGAGGTAGCGGGTGTCCTTGAAAACCGACGTTGACGTGAACGACGCCTGCTGACTTTAGCGGCGGCTTCTCGATGAGATGAGTGATCGCGCACCATCTCCTTCAATATAGCAATTTCCTTCTGAATACGCGGGCAGTCCTTTGATGGGGCTTCATGAGATCCATTGCAATTCGAGCATTTCTTGACAGTAGCGACACACTTCGCTGCATGAGGCTCGGTGCAGCGGTGGCTTACAACCGAATTCTCGCAGACGCTGCTCACATGTCCAAGTTTCATGCATTTACGGTACTAGAGAGGCTTTGGAATGAAAGGCCGCACACCATGTCTGAAGTAGCCCACCTTCTAATGAGAAAGGAGGGATGTGCTCTTAAACGCAATCTTCACACAGTGAGGCTTGCCCAGCCGGGTGACATAAACAATTGGAGTATCAGTTGTTGAATCAACAAGAAATTGTAAGTCATTGTTTGAAATACCCACATCTATGTCGTAGATCACGCCGGTTACTACATCACATCCCAAGGGAACATGAGAGCGCCCCTGACTGCCGTCCAAGTCAGTTACACTGCGCAGAACGCCAAAAGCACTTGCGTGCAAAACGTCCACAGCCAGTATATTCTTTCTGGCTCTCACTCTTATGTCCGTGATCTCATTTGGCACGAGCGCTTCCAGAGACCTCGACACAGACTTTCTGTTAAGGCATTTCATGCTGACGGTAGGAAGTGCAGGCAGAAACAGGATGGTATAAGTGTTCGACTTCGGCGATACATTTAGAGTTTGAATAGTTGAGGATGAGGATGTCCTCGTATTCCTCTTCTTCGGTTTGTGGCTCCGCACAGGTTGGAAACCGTCATCTGAAAAGTCGTCCCTGCTGAGATAGTAGGCATGAGTATCTTCACTGTCGCTGTTGCTCGCTTGTCCAATGCGCTTCCTGGAGGCAGCCACCGCTGACGGCGTTGTGCCGGCAGGTGCCCGGGGTGGTCTACATCCATCCCCTCCATGGGAGTGGCGAAAACCGATCAACAGACTTAAATTGCCACTGAAATACGCCGGAGTTAGCAGAAGCAGCTCTTATTCAAATTACACTTCTTCGTCTTCCTTTCTGTGCAGTGCCTAAGTAGAAATAAAATTATCACTTCAACAACTCTATTATGTCTGAATTCATCACTAATATTACGCTACTTTTCGGAAGAATTTTTTCTATTTGCTTTATATATTAATTTATATGTGGAGTTTAACGTCCCAAAACCACCAAGTGCTTATGAGAGGCGCCATAGTGGAGGGCTCCGGAGGGCTTCGGTGCTCTTTATTGTGCACCGAAATCTGAGCACACGGGCTAACAGCATTTTCGCCTCCATCAAAAATTGCGTTATATGGAATGAAGTTTAAGGTCTTGCCACGGTTGAAGCGTTAGTAAAAAGAATTTATCCTTTAATTGTGTGCTATCTTCCACTTCAGGCAATACGGCAATTACTCGGACCTGTCAGATATTTTCCTAAAAAAAATATATATATATATAATAAAGAAAAAAGACAGAAAAAAAGACAATGAACATGAGGTGGACCATTCCCCTCCCGGCTGCCCTCTTCCACCCCCCCCCTTTTGGCTTTTTCTCTCCTCTTCGTTTCCCCCTCACTTTCCGGCGATCACCTTTATGATGTCCGTGGTCTACGTATCCTCCTTTGCCCTAACCTATTGTTCCCGCCTGGAGCCCAACGCCAAAGTCTTCGCTTCTACGACGAAGGCTTACCGGACGTAACTACAATCAGCGAACTTCATAAGTGCCATTACCGCACCCAAAAGAACATGGACCTCTAAAGAATAGGTCCAGTTAATCACTTATCAGTTGCAGTGCCACCTTTCTTAAAATACGAAAACTCGCTGACAAATTAATTGGACATGAAATGCATAAATCAACATTGCAAGTGTACCTTGGTGCTAGAATAGCCCCCAAGGGTATGCCACTCTTCCTTACACCAGCCGCTACAAACCTAGACAATTATGACCAAATAACATGTGAAAATGTCCTCATTGAGGTGTCTCTTGAATTAACAGAAATTGCTATCAATAACAGTGATAAGCAGGTAAGGAAACTGGTCGCTATTACCAACATCATTCTCCGCCATAGCACTTTATCGAACAAGAAAATCACCCTGTTACCAGAATTTGAGCAGAATAAATACCAAGCCATCATGAATCTAAAAAATCCTAAACTCAAAAGAGACCATGTTCCCAACAGCGCGTTTCCTGAGATAATTCCATACCACTACAACACCCCAACTCAGGAAACCACTAACGGTACAATCAAGCACCCATCTATGAACACACCCTGTGACGCTGTGATTGTAAACCTATCGGACCCGCTTTTGCCACCTGACGAAGAAAAACTGCTATCCAGAACACTAAGCTTCTGCCCAACCACAACTTTTTTGACAAATTTCACTTCCTCTAAGACCTCGACAACTTCGCTAGAAGCTTAAGGTTGCACGAATAATTCTTGGACAGGCGTTCTAACCACGAAACAATTCATCGTCGTAAAACGAAATATTGCACACAAATCAGTAATAGAGACAATTGTCTGGACCTTTATATCACCACAGTACAGAAAGATATAGTATACAAATACCACAGACAGAAAGGAAAGCGTGAAAACTTGACAAAATCTTAAAAAGATTGAGTGTAAGAAATCTGGCATCGAGGAAAGACATAAAAATAAAACCCGCTGACAAAGGAGGAGAAATTGTAGTCTTTAATACAACCAACTACTAACAGGAAGCATACCGCCAACTGGACGACTCAAAATTTTACGAACGCCTACCAGTTGATCCGCAGACGAATACAAACGTATCGAATAAACAGTACTAAAAAACTGTTGGACGGAGAAAAGATAACCAACACTGACCACAATTTAATGCGAGCAGCATACCCTCGCCCAGGTCACTTCTACATCCTCCAAAAAATTCATAAACCCGCTAACGAAGGTCGACCAATCGCATCACGCATAGGTACAATAACTGAACTCATATCAGTGTGCGTGGACAAACTAATCAGCCACATTCCATGCCCCCTCACGTCGTACCTAAGAGACACCACACATTTGCTTAGAGACATTGCAGGTCTGTGTGTGCGGAAAAACTCGTACTTGGTTACTCCTGATGTGTCCTAATTAAATACAAATATTCCTCACCATGACGAAATAGCTGCATTACAAAACATTTACACAGACCACAGACAACCTGATAGCCCAGATTTCTCTGCCATCACGACTTTGACGAGGATGGTCCTAGAAATAAACTCATTTGAATTTAACAAAGAGCATTTTCTACACATTAGCGAGACCACTATGGGCACTGAAATGGCACCCAATTATACCAAAATATTTATCGGAAAGCAATAATTCAAAATTCTCGCACAAGGTTCCTTGGTACCATTCTTATACAGAAGATATGTCGAGGGAACCTTTCTTATTTGGACCCAAAGGGAGGATGAACTTCTCAGCTTTATCGACACTTGCAACGCTCTCTATCCAAACATACACTTCACACACATGCTTACTCGGAAGCAACCGTAATTTTTTTATGTTACTATAACCATAGAAAAAGACAAGCTTTTAACAACCCTCTATCGCAAACAAACGGATTGACAACAACACCTCCATTAACAAAGCGATCTACCACACCACTGTGAAAACAGTATTCAATGCAGCCAGGCACACCAGTTTAAACGAATCTGCTCAAGAGACGCTGATTTTGACACGATCTCACAGAGGCTAAAACTTCTGCTCGATAAACAAAAATACCCCTGACATGTAATTGATGACGCCTTTCAGAAAGCTAGTTAACTGAAGTGTTGACCTACTTATAAAGCGAGCACTGCAACAAACAACTTATGCTTAACTTACCGCACAAACTTCTCTAATCTAAAGAAAACCCTTCAACAACATTACAACATTCTGGAACAAAGTGAACGTATGAAATGCGCATTCTCATCCAATCCTGGCATCGTTTACTGATGACCACGCAACCTCAAAGACACACTTGTTCATTCTCAAATCAATACTTCGCCTCTAGGAATTCATGCCTACCTTGTTTAAAGTCACGATGTCTTGTATGTAAAGCGATGCGAGGAATAGACAAAGCAACCAGCACACAATCCAAGTTTTCGATTAACATACGAGTAAACCTAACATGCGATCCCTCAAATGTGGTATACCTACTCAATTGCATGGTGTGCAGTATGCAGTATATCGGACAAACAGAAGCACCATTTACGATTCGTTTCAATAATCATAGAGTCCATGCGAAATGAGCCCCTAGTCTACCTCTGTCAAAACTTCTCAACCTTCGCGACCATGCATTCAACTATCAGTAACACTCATAGAAACGAGATTTATATCAAACCCAGAATGTAAACAACGAGAGTCATACCTGATCCACTGATTTAAAACCCTTGATAGAGGAATAAATGAGAATACGGGTGCACTTTCAGAAATTGAAGCATTTGAAAACAATAACGGCAATAATGACAATAATGACTGAGTTCACGGCACTGCACCTGCGACGAGCATTGGACATCTGAAAATACCAAGTGTAACTATTCTTCCTAAGTACAGCTGTCGTCTGTTTCTGTTTCTACCTTACTATCCAATCAATTGTGCCAAGGAAGGCATGTCCAACAGCAACCCTGTGCACAATCAGGACGCCTCTACTGCGTAAATCTGCTAGCTGGCCTGAATTGGGATTGCACCCGTTTGCGAGCATCGGCGGCAATAGGCGGCACCCCTCATTCAACAGCGAGACATTCACAAGGCGCAGAGTAGTAAAAGGCTTAAACTTCTTGAAAAAGCTTTTTTCCCTTTACCGAACCACCAGAGCCATGCGGCACCACCTGGTCGTGAAAAATACGTTAGTTGAAGGAAGGATGCGCAGACCACGCACATCTTAAAGTTCATCGTTGGAAAAAGAGGGGGGAAGGAAGAGGAGAGAAAAAAAGGCTAAAAAAGTGGAA